AGCAGCCTGCAGTTTGTCCAGGGAGTGGGCATCTGGGATCATACAGGAGCAGCTCTGAAGGGTGAAGGAGATGAGGGGAACTGCCAGGACCACAGGGACCCGCATCCTCCAGATGTCAGAATGGTCCATCCCGATACCTGGGAAAACAAGCAGAGGTATCAGGAGCGCAGCTTGGCTAAGCTGAGAACTCATGGCACAGCTCCACTGAGAAAAGACCTTGTACAGGAGGCAGAAGCAGGGCCAGGCTACTGAGGAGGGCTTTAGAAATTTTGCCCGGGTATGCAGGGGTGGGGTTAGAGAAGCCAAAGTTCAGCTTGAGCTGGCAAAGCCATCGAAGGCAAGATGAAGAGCTTCATTCTCTATATGGGCAGTAAAAGGTCAAATAAGGAAATGCGTGCTCACTGCTTAGTGGAGTGAGTGATTTTATGGCAGAGGACGTAGAGGAGGGCAATGCTCCTAATGCCTTCTTTGTCTCTGTCTTCACCACCAAGTTCTCACAGCCTTTGGTGCTTAGTGAAAGGGCTCAAGGAGGACAGAAACAATGAGCAGTGGGTAAAGATTAAGTCAGGGATGATGTGCAAGAACTTGTAGAAATCAGGTAGGTTCCTGGTGACCAGAGAGAGCAAATGTCCCCCACATCTTCAAGAAAAGCCCAGAGGACAACACGGGGACCTACAGGCTTGTCGGCTTCACTTTGGTCTCTGGCGAAATTATGAAGCAGGTCCCCTGGAGCCCATTTCCAGAAGAGGAAGGTTGTTGGGAACAACGAGCCTGACTTTGTTGAGGGTAAATCATACCTAGGCTACCTGATTGCCTTCTGCGTGCGAAGGACTGCGTTTGTGGTTGAGGGGAGAGTAAGGCTTTCCACACTGTTTGCCACAGTAGTCTTCTCTCTAAGTCAGGACATTGGGGTCTGAATAGTTGGACAGTTTGATTAGAAAAAAGCTGGTTGGATGGCCGGGTCCAGAAGGTGGTGGTTAATGGGACCTACACTGCCTACAGGTCAATGATAAGTGGAGTAATGCAGGGGTCTGTGCCGGGCCCTGGCCCATTTGACATCTTTATCAGTGACCTGGAGGAGATGACAGACAGTTCTGGTCTCAAGTTTGCAGATGATTGCAGGGACACACAATCAGGTCACAGCTGCCATCCAGAAGGACCTAGCCGGGCTGGAGGAATAGACCAGCTGGAACCTCATGAAAATTTGTCAAGGGCAGATGCCGAGGGCGGCCCCTGGGGGGGAGGCTCTGGGGCAAGGACAGGGGTTGGTCCCTGCCTGGCTGGGAGCAGCTCTGCGGGAAGGGACCGGGGGGCCTGGGCGGGCAGAAGCTGGGCACGAGCCAGCAGCGTGCCCGGGCTGCCGGGGCGGCCAGCACGGCCAGGGCATCGAGGGAAGGGTTCATCCTTCTCCACTCCGCATGTCTCAGAGCCCATCTCAAATACTGCACCCGGGTTCGGCTTCCCAATACAAGAACAACATTAACAAAGTGGAGCAAGTTAATGGACGGCCCCAGGCTACTCAGGGCCTGGAGCACTTGCCTTGTGGGGGAAACTGAGGGACAAAGTCTTGTTCAGCCTGGAGAAGAGATGGCTCCAGGGGAGGGCTAACAGCAGCCTGCCAGGACCTGCAAGGGGGTTCTCAGGAAGACAGATCCATCCACTTCACAGTGGGGCATTAGGGGACAGTGAGAGACAATGGGCATGAGCTGGAGCGAGAGAAGAGGTAGGATAGAAATACTTTTTTCACTCTGCGTACAGTCAAGAACTGGAGCTGGCTGTCCAGAGAGGCTGTGCAATCTCTATCCTTGGAGAATTTTAAGACCTGACTGCTTAAAACCTGAAGCAACTTAGTCCGACCTCAGAGATGACCCTGGAGCTTAGACTAATCCCAGGTCCTTCCAACTGGAATTGTCTGTGATTCATTCTATTAATATTTTAAAACTACACTGAACTTCCAGCTAAATGCATTTGTGATCTATTTGTGTGCCTGAGTTCTCGTGCTTCTTAGGCTTGTTCATTGCCTAAAATAAATTTTATTCTGCATTGTATTAACTGAGAACAGTAACATTCGCTCACAACTTCTGTTAAGCAAACAAGCCATGCTCTTCTAATTTCCTCATGTGAAACAGAGTTCATACTCCTTTTTCATCCTAATATCCCCTCTCTGCACCTGTTCTGATTTGAATTCATCTATCATGCATGTAGGTGATCACAGCGCTGCAGTACTGCATAAATCCAAATACAAGGTCAACAAAGAAATATTTGTATCCTGCACTAGTCACTCTTGCTACTGAAAACGTCCTGCAGGACAACATAGACACAGATTTTATTTTTTTTTACAACTGCACCATGCCCATACTAATGTTGTCACTGTTTATCATTTCCTGATCTTCCTTTCTACGTATAGAAATACATGAATGCAGACATATGCAAAATTATTATGCCATAGAAATCATTAATGATGACTAATGATACGATTAAAAAGGCTTTTCTGGTATTTGCCCTAAACATTTCTCATTACTAATTTTTACTACTCTTAATTGGACCATTTTTTTTCCCTCAGAAGCTGCTAAGTGTTCTAGACCTAGGTGTCTTTCAAATATTTGCAAACAGAAATCTTGTCCTACCTTAAATTATATCCATCTATCTTTTCTGGTGAGTCATTTTTTTTTCCAGCACCCTAATTATTTGGATGTGAATGAAGAAGATTTCTTTACAACAAAATGTTTTCGTATAGTTCTCAATTTTGTTTTTAAGATCCTATAAAAAGCACACTGGAACGTTCTTTAAATCCCACAGATCACAAGTACCTAAAAGCTGTGAGACATCATCTTTTAAGTATATTGAACACAGAATGCCTTATTCTGCTTGTATTACAAGTGCTTTTTAAGATACTAACTCTGATCTCAATTTGGTCATGTGGAGTTGTGGTCCTTCTGGGAAAGCGAGCTTCATTTACGTAATATTTAAGAACCAGTAATTCCCAGTGATAAAGTGGGTTTCCCCAGTCATAGTTTCTCTCATTTTCCATTTCTCTACAAATTCCTCCTTTGGGAAATTGTTTAAAGATAACTTAGAAGTGAATTCTCCTAGTTTCTCCATGAGATTGCCTGTTGTAGACTTGTAATTTGCCATGCAGAAGATAAATTGCCTTTTTCTGAGAGAGCATTTTGTTGTTCATGGCTTATGTACTGCTTTTCACATTAATTGTTTAAAGAGCAGTAAGTCATCTGTAGACTTGCTAAGTGTGAGTTTCTGAGACAGTAATGCAGAATGTTAATTGGCTGTTTATGAATATATAGGGAGATATATATAAAAAAAACATATATATATATATACATACATATATATATATTAGCTCCAATGCTTAAACTATTTCTATCTACCTTCCAAGTGTCGTTACAAAAGCCTCCAGTGTCTGCTCTTGGCACGTGAGCTCCTTATATAGGGAAGGCATGCACCGATTCCAGCACCGTGCTGTTGATCCCTGAGAGGGAATTTTCCAGCCACAGCACTCCAGCTACTGCACAAAATAAACATGTTCAGCCACTGGTTACAGCTTAATTTGAAGCAGAACAACGCTGAACTGTGTACTGGGTGCAGGTGCCCGGGCGGGGGTGGGAGCTGCAGGAGCAGCCTCTGCGAGGAGGGGCTGGCACTGCCCTGCGCCAGGCACAGCCGGTCCCAAGCAGAGATTCCCCTGTAGCCCCTGGAGGGACCACGGTGGAGCAGGTATCTCCTGCAGCCCATGGAGAGGACCGTGCTGGAGCAGACCCTGCACCACTTGAGCCTAGGAAGAAGGGGACGAGCAGTGGAAGGAAGGTTCCTTAGGTTTTGTCTTTCTTTGTCACCATCCAACTCTATTTTAATCGGCAATAAATTAAAATTACTTTTCCCCGTGTTGTATTTTTTGCTCGTGATGGTAACTGGTAAGTGATGCTCTTGTCTTTGTCTTGACCTACAAGATTTTTCATCTTACTTTGTCCCCCTGTCCTGCTGAGGAGGGGAGAGCAGCTGGGTAGGGATCTGACAGCCAGCCAAGGTCAATCCACCACAAACTTTTAAGTAAGCTAGTGCTCTCAGAGGGATTTCAGGACTACTTTTTCATCCTGATCTTCAACAGACTTAATTATTAACTTGGAAATTATGTCCATTTCCATTTGATTAAATGATATTAGCATTTTCGCCATGAGACAAAAACAGAGAAGCAAACCTCACAGCATTGATAAACTGTCATGATAAAGATTAATATTGGCTCATTTTTAATATGATGATTCATTACCTGGCAAAATTAAGGCTCTGCATTTTTCTACTTCAGTTTCCACTAGGATTTATTATTATTCCAGAAGTCGTAATGTACAATTCTTCTTTTTTTTTGAAAAAAAATATGGGATGTCAATATCCTATAATTAGAACAGCACTAGAAATTCACAGGCTGCTAAATTCAGTACCACTGCTCAGAAGGTAATGCAATTTCTGTGCAGATTTTAGACTGGAAAGGATGTGCAAGACTCTTCCCCTGTCTGTGTCATATTTGTGTCTCACATCTCGCACATCCATGTGGTAAAGCTAAAAGAAAAGAAGAGTTCACATCTTCCCTTATGTTTTGTAGAACACTCACTGGACTTCCTGCTTAAAGGCAAGGGACAATATATCCCTTATCTACTTTCATACACCTGAACTGATCTACAAAGAACAACAAAATAAAGACAGAAAAGGAAGAATATTTAACTTCTGTCAACATTCTTTTTCTTTTTGGAAGAAGGTTGTTCAGTTTAATCCTCATGAAAGTGGGAAAAATAACAGTAGTGGATTAAAGCCAGAGTTTAAGAAAATACATTTAAATTTTTTTTTTTTTTTACTTAAAAATTAGTTTCCTCATAGTTCAAAGACCTAAGAGTTAAACTATATTGTATACACCTCAGGTACAAATTGACAAAAGATCTAATAAATCAGACTATATAAAAAGCAAGAGACTTTTTTTTTTTTTTTCCCAGAAAAATGTATTTGTGTTTTAGCTGATCATATAAAAAGCATTAAATTTTTAAAAAATGTGTATATACTTTTTCAAGTGTAAATGGTTTCTCCATTCATTGTAGCTACATTCCGAAGTCCTGTAACATCAGGGCATGTTATCCTTATCTGTGTAGCACAGTGAGCATAATCTTTACACTGAGGTCACTCTCATCACTACTTCCCCAGAACCGTTATCCTCTGACGAATCTTCCTGAGGTCTCATGCGGTTGAACAGATGTAACAATACATAGCCACACTGAAATCTTGGTGAGGTTAACTGCGTTGGATGAACTAAACTTCTGTTTCTAAATGCAGTCAGTGGTAACCACAATGTCCTTCCTGTGGAGGATTCTCCTCGATTGCTCTCTTCTATGTCTGTGGCTTTATCGTAATTTAACACATCCCAGTGTAGATTCACAGCCCTCCAGCGCTTAAACACTCGATAAACAGATGCACCTTCATGTACTATCAGTCCTGAAATGAAGGAAAAAAAAAGTACAAAATATCAGTGGATACCATTTTCAGAGCAAACAAGAGATATAACACATTGCAATGAATGTGCCAATTGCCAGAGCCTACCAAATCACTTGTAACTCTGACAATTCGAATCCATTGTACCTATCCAATATAACTGGTTATTCATGTGTTTAAGATTGGGAGGTGGGAACATGCAGAGGAAATAAAATTGTTTTGAATGAAAGTTCAACATGACCAAGACTGGAATAACCTGAGCGTGCCTAACTAAAGTATACAGATTTAAGTAAACTAATATAAAAGAACCTTACTGGCAGATTTGTAAATTGACTGTTTACACTAGTGCTATCCTTGTTCACGGTAAATACTATTTATTTACTGAGTTTTGTACTGGTTTAAGTAGATCTTTAATTGGTTAGACTTTCTGCAGCGAATAGGATGGTCTCAAATTTGTTCAAGAGTGTTTTGTAAAATTCAGTACAGATACTAATTTAACTGTTTTCACATTCTTAGTTCAACTTGGGAGCACAGAAGATTCATGAAAACCTGAAACCGCTGTAAGTATAAAGGTGTTCCTGTCTTGCCTCAGTAGAGCAAGAGGAAATTAAATGTTATTATTAACTATGATGAGCATGGCAAGGATGATGGGCTTTCCTCTTTCTCTTCAAAATTCAGTGGACGAAAGTCGAGAAACATCTTTTTTGTTGAGACCCAGGAAATGTTTTCAAAGGTCCTTCAAGGAAAATACAGATTATCTGGAGTACTCAACAGACCAATCTGTTTGCAAACTTCCATGTAGCTAGTATTTACGCTTATTGTATGCATTCAAGCAATTTATTTACTTAAATGAATCTCTTTGTTGTTCATATATATGTATATATGTATATGTATTTATACACACACTCTTTATGCATAAGTATTTCAAAGATGGATTTACTGGGCAGATGCATGGGGCTTCAGCCTTCTTCTTAGGTTTTTCCTCAACCAGCCTGGTAACTTATATGGTTCTGAGAAACATCACATGTTTTCCCTGGCTCCCTGCTTTGGGGGGAGAGCAACCTGCCTAGCCAAAAACATTTATAATTTTTTTTTGTCCAGTGTGTTTCTTGCTTAAAATTTTCCTATACATGGCCTATATGATATGAGGTGTCACAGGCTACAGTCCTTTATCCCAAAAGATTATATCTCACCTGTTCCTACACAATGAAATTGTGATTTAATTGTGTGAGGTCTCAGTGCAGTTAACTGATACCAAGAAGGAGACATTCAAAGAAAGATGACCCAAGCAGAAAGGGTGATAAAAACACTTATACGAACAGCAAACCTCAGATTCAAGTGCAATGATTTGCAAATAGCAATGCCTACTCTTTAAAGATCATTACACTGAAAGATGGAGAAACACAAAGATTGCTTTCAGAAGGACATGATAGCAAATGTAGCATCTCCGTAAGGCTTTCAAGTTGTGCACAATTCACTGAAGCATCCGATGCAGCAAAACACTTAGTAACACTATAAACTTAATTGTTAAATATCCTAAATGTATTTTGTATCACCACAGCATTTTAGTGGAAAATTTGCTTGACTGCAAGATGTCTATCTTCATCTTCTCAGATATATATAAAGCAATCTGGCTTAAAAATTTAGCAGCCATGATAATACATAAATGCACCTTCAAGACTGGCTATATTGCCTTAAAAGGGATAAATGTACAGAATCTACAAACCAAATAAGCCATGGTTTTATTGCTGTGACAAAGATCCACTCTCCCCCCTTTTCTTCTGTTGGGTTTCCTACAGAATGATGAGGGAGATTATCATAATTTTCCCTCTACCTGTCACTGGATCTTATGATTCTTTGGCCCAATCTTCCTCAAGACTGTGATGAAGCAAAATTGAGAAAACCTATTTACCCCAACGTAAGTATTTTTGATACCTGCCTGCACTCCACTGGACCCTGAAAAACGTATTTCAGCAGAGAGAAGGAAGCAGTTGAGAAAGGATCACTGAGGTACATGCAGTATATGTAAACAGTCAAAAGTATCCTCCCAGAATTACGACACAAAAAGCTGTAGGACGACTTCTTTTAGGGAGCTCTTTTTTACTGTTTTCGAGCTTTCAGGATTTACTGAAAATATGTTTTCAAGGTTTTTTCAAGAATGGCGAGGAAAAGAAGTTTTCTTTAAAGTGGAAGCTGTTAGTCATATATGCGCTAAAAGAGCTAGTGAACAAAGGATCAAATATTGCAAGGCTTGAAATAAAGTTGTCAGATTTGGCAATGCTGAAGCACCAAAGGAGCGCTTTCATAATTCCACCCATAAAAAGCTTTATTTCCCATCTGATAAAACTACAGATTGAAGACCTATGTAGAAGAAGGAAAAAAATTCCAATAGATCTTTTGCCTCTTTGAAATATATTTTCCAGGGGGCCGCAGAAAAAAAGCTCTCAGTATCAACAGTTCCAAGCCCAAAATAAGAGGAAATCTGGGTAAGGTTTAAATGATGGAGTTTTTCCCAGTCCAGGGAAGTTCCGATGTTCAAATTATAAGTAGCTAGTCACTAAAGTAAAGCTGTAAGAAAATGACAAGCAATTTCCTTTTTCTTAAGAGTTCCCTAGAAATGAATGAGGATATCAGAGAGAAAATGAGAATAAATCCATTAATAATATTGACTTGTTCCAAATACCATGATTTTAACATCACAGAGGACATAGTTGCACAGTCCTAGGGGAATTTAAAAAAAAAAGTACTTATTTGACCCAGATGATTCCAAGAGGAAGTGTTAGAATTCCCTACAGTTAGCTGTTCTGATGGTCTGTCCAATTGGTATCTACAAGGAACAGAGTTTTGGGATAATGGACCTGGCAAAATGTCCTAAGGCTCTAAGAGGACTTTACCTTCAGGATATATTTCTAAGATGTAGGGACTGTAGTGGGATCCAGACAATAGGATTACGGACATATCATCATTTTCTTTTATTTTCTTGCCAAGTACTATGAGATTCTTTCACTCTATCCAAAGGATTTCTTACCCTAAGTCAAAAGACTACTTGAAATTTTTCATACTGAATGTCTTTACAAGCAGGCAATTCATCTTAGTTCATTCAGATTTCGTGGTATGAGGTTCCAATGTTGTCTTATTTATCACACTAATCTTACTTATAATCATTTAGGAATGGTACCCCCAGAAACATCACAAACATTTACCAGAGAATAAAAGGACCCTTTTCAGAACCAGACAAAATGCCATGTCTTAATACTATTCTAGGGCCCACAAATACAAAAAAAAAAAATGCAGTAAATTGCTCGAAGCATTAAAGTGAAATATGTCCAATTTCAAAATAGCAATATACCACTCTCTAAACTATTTAGAATTAGATCTAAGGTTAAAAAGAAAATACTTTCTGAGTAGAGAAATATTCAGCGCAGCTGCATGTGTTCATTATAAGTAACTTCAGCCTGTACAGTTTTACAACTAAGGAGTTACACAAATGTTGCCAGGCATCAAGTTCCTTGAGGGGGAAGAAGAGGCTTTCAGAGGGGTATTCACACCTCACATTATCTCCCATCTCTTACTCCCTTGTCATAGTACTACTGGCACCACCCATGTTTCTAGCGCAATGCTACAAGGGCTTTTCTTTTTCCCTTTTTTTAAAGGAGCTGCACTGTTGTTCTGGGATCGCAAATGAGCTATTCTTATTTGTGAGAGATTTTGTTAATGCTAGAATCATTTATGACTAGTAGTTACGATTATATTCCAGTGAAAATATATAAAATTATGTGACTTCACAGTTAGGAGAAATAATTGCTAGGTCTACAAAGTAGAATGGCAAAGGCTTTGTGTACTGCCCTTCAGCGGCTAAATAAGGGGTTTATATTATTCATTCCCTTCATATTAACTTATGAACTCACTCCCTTTGGTCATCCCTACATGGATGAGCTGATCATAGCACTATCACTGCACTAACTCCGGGTTTCACAGGCAGTAGTTCTACTTGATTAAAATGTTGAAGGTTTGCCTTAGGAAAACTTCTACCACTGGCAAGTTTCAAAGAGAACAGCTTTATGCCCAGCTTAGATGCAGAAAAGTACAAACTAATGACTTACAGGGTTGAAAATAACACTGATAAGTAAAAATGATCCTGCTAGGAAGACTTCTGGAATAATTTAGAGTAGAAGGAGGAGGACAATGGATACCAATAAGACATGTACACTGGAAAGAATAGAACATATTGTATTGGTGATCTGTAATCTCTGGAATATTTCTTCCGGTGAAAAGTAAAACAAGACCAAGAGTTAAAATACAAGTTACATGTAATTTACTCGATGAGAAAGTGGGTGGTATGATATGTATGGTATATAAATCAATCATTGGGAAAACAAATGAGTATGTGCAAGTTTTCAAAGATGTCATATAAATATGTCAGTACCTTTAGGCAAACTGCTTTTAAAAATAATTACAACAAAACATTTCAGGAAGTACAGATATTTACACTTCACAATTGACCAAAAATACTGATATTGTTTATGCAAAGCTATATGGAGGCATAACAGAAGGCAGGTGGAATAAGTCTTGGTCGTACCCCCAGTAACTAAAGTCTTGAAATATATGCGACACAGGAAAACTCATATGTCTGCATGTATTTTTCATTGAAATAAAGAGAGATTCCAGTGCGAATATAGGTATTCACTCACTATAAATCCTGTTGAAAATTATGGAAAAGCCATGGATGACTAAACACAAATGAGAGGAAAGGAGACACTAATTGAGAGCTGTGGCTGGCTGGAAGCATTACAAGCTTCATGATATAAGAGATTATATATAATATGCAATGGTGAAAGCATATGTTAATGTCTTTGGGAAGTCAGCAGCATAATGGACAGTGATTTTTTTTTTAATAATTCATGAATAATAATTACATCCATCTATTAAAGAACTTTATTTGAATGTTTTGAATTAAAACTATCGATCTAAAATCCCTCACTTTATGATGTAAGAAAAGATAAAAATTGAATAAAGTTGAATATATTAATAAGTATTTTCAAGAATTACAAGAACTCCTGGTCTTAAAAGCTTACAGAATGCAGATTACTTAAAATTACATTAAGAGTAAGTGGACTGAATGTATCCAGATCATCAGAATTCTACAATTACCAAACCTCCTTCATGCAGCTTTCTGAATTTCCAGACACAGTTTAGTAAACTGTTAAGTCATATCTGCACTGAATTTTGCAATTACAAAACAGCATCCAACTATGTTTCATTATAGTCAGTTTTACATAAAAGATCGCCATGTATTATTTATGATAGGACTATAAAATATGCATTTATGTGATTAGAGGCAAGTCAGTTTGTCTAGAAGACAGCTGCACATCTACTTTGATTCTCCACGGTGCTGGTTAGGCTGGCAGCTCCATAGCTGTGGGAGGTATGTGTTAGTTCAGTAGCTTCCAGTCCAGAGGTGGCTTGAGCCTGGCTGGCTCGAAAGGCAGCTACATAACTGCACGTGCTAATCTATTGAAGGTTCTCCTTCCAATAGTTTACGTCTACAGATAAAGACACTAATATTTCTGATCACCCACAGACATTCGCAATTGATACTTGTCCAGAGTACTAGAGACCAAGACTCTGTTAATTTTTCTCTGAAAGGATTTGGGTTCACAGAAGAAAGCCTGTGTTCCAAAATACTCCAGAGTGGGCTTCTCTCAGAAAAATTACAAAATAAACAGAACCGCTGATCCAGCTGAAATATAAATATTTTACAGTAATGGGATGGTTTCAATAAAAGATGATATGCCTTTATGGTTGGAGCAAGAGCCTTGACATTAGGAATCACTCTGTTTCTTTGCACTTTATTGAGGAGAATTCAGCACTGTCCTTCTGAATTCCCATATATGAGATTGGCATAACATCAACATTTATCACTCAGAAATCTCAAAGCAAACTGACATCAGAGAGCATCTGATTTTTGGATTTTCTTGGAATTGTAATTCTAAGAATGTGGTTTAATGCTTACCACAATTATTAAACTTTCTCTGCAAATAATCATAACTATTCTAGCAATCAATTCAAGGTTGTTTTATCAAATACTAAAGGGATATCTATTTAAATATTTCTGGGTCCAGTATATTTTCAGAAATATCAAAAGTGGTCAAAATAGCTTTACAGTAAATTGCATTTTATTTTATAATATTTCATCTAGAGTTAAATGACTTGAGACTTTTTAATAGTAAAGTTACTGTAGTTAACACTCTTAGAGTGTTTCATAACTGTTTATGATGTACAAAGAACTCATGCCTGTCTTCTCTGTTCTCTATTACTAGTACATATAAATCTGTGCAACTGAATTTTGGATACGTAGTTTGACGACATTCTCCAGAGCTTATTCTGCACTTCATGATGGCATAATCTAATGCAAAGTGGCATCAGTAGAAGACTTGACAGCATGTAATTTTACTAATTATTTTAATAATGTGTTTGTCATTTTCATCTGTTTAACTTCCTGAACTTTGCTAGCAATCTAATTTTTCAAGAAATTGAAAGCGAACATGTTCTCGCCACTATTATCTTGGGGAGACACTTTGATGAATCTGAGAGTAAAGCTTCTTTGGTTCTTTTCTCTTTGTAGTATTTGTAACACTGTAAAAAGCAGTATTTGCCAAAGGTATCAGCTGAGAATAAATCTGCAAAGAACTGGAGTGATCAATTAGAGTGACCAATTAGAAAAAATAGATATAGTCACAGTCTCAAACCACAGTCTGTGCTGTTTAAAGATTTTGAGCTTACCTATGCATACTAGATCCATAAAACCATACATTCCATAGCAGATTTGAAAAAGGATGTCCTTTCTTTGCCATACTGCATAAGGGCTGAAGGCTGACCATAGAAGCCAAGTCACACTTGCTACTAAGAACAGAGATCCTAGGATTACAGCAACCATCTGCACTTTCTCAACCAGTGTTATAGTAATGCTTTGCCACTAAAAGAGAAACAAAGTTGTATAAGATAAAAAAGTTAATTTCTGTGATTGTACATTCAACTCCACTTCTTTCCTGAAAGTAGAAATTATTTTATTTATACATATCTTCATAGATCTTTACTAATATCCTCAATATTGGCATTTTATATATATATATATTTTTTCCCTATTTCAATTTTAGTTAAAGTAAAACTAATAGCTGCTTCCCCATCCCCTCCAGCATCACTATCACCATCTAGCTGTGAACTTCAGAAGAGGTAAAAGTTTTATTTCTGTTTTGAATACATAGGCAAAAAAATATTTAGTCTTAGGAACTCAGCCTTTCATATTTGTAAGTTAATGAACAGAACAAAAAAAAAATATTGGAAAGATAATTTTAAGTATCTTTTATGTTAGTGTGACAAGTTGAAAGTGACAAATTTCCTTTCCATCTCACTCCCCCGAAGTCTGAAGCCATTTTCCACTTTCCTGCTGCTCATCAAAGAAGTTCCAGACATACCAAGGGAGTTGGCTTTCTCTGCATAAACCAGTGTTAACAGTACGAAGAGACACCTGCAGCCTAGTGTGGAAACAACCCGATGATTTAGGAGGAGACCTGAATATAGGTAACATGAACATTTCTTTTCAGCGCACCCCAATTATGTCTGCCTTTCTTGGGAAGGCTGTATCGCCCATATGTGAGGCGACTCAGATTTCTGGTGTGACAAGCATGCTCACTGAATTCTGTCAAGATTAGAATAGAAATAAAATTCTGTTAAAACAAAAGCAATATGCAACATAAGATTACCCTTAACACATACGGTCTTCCTTGGCCATAATTGTCTACATTAGCTTGGCGGACTCCCCACTCTAGCCCCATCACCAAATCCAGAGCTAGTATGCAGACTTCGTAGACTGCCATCTTTCCTGTTCCTAATTTTTAACATACCTGCCCCCTTCTACAGTTGCAATAGGGAACAGGTAGTGAAAGCTACTGTCATAAGGGCTTTATTATCTTTTCCCCATCTGTAAATAATTCTTCCTTTTCCCTGTTACTTTATGAAAGCTTTCTTTTTTTTACCAGCAGTGGGGTACCCGGTACTGTATGATCATAGGATGATAGAATAATTCAGGTTGCAAGGGGCTGTGGGAGGTCTCTAGTTCCACTTCCTGCTCAAAACAGGGGCAGTGATGAGATCAGACCAGGCTGCCCACGGGTTTATTCAGTAACACCTTGAAAACCTCCAAGTATGGAGAGTGTTCAGCCTCTCTGGGCAACCTGTTCAGCTTCCTGACTGTCTTCAGGTTGAAAAATGTCTTTCTTAAAAAGTATTTTTCTGAGATCCAGTCTGATCCTCTTGTTCCAGTTTATGCTCTCTTCCTCCCAGCAAGTACCACTGTGAAGAGCCTGGGTGAGCAATGATGTCCTCTGCCCTTTTCTTCTCTTTCATCTTTCTCCATTAACTTCTCTGCTGTTGTCTAATTTACACACCTGGTGCTGCTGCATGCCTTCTCTTGTAGCCTTATGAATATAATAGTACAAAAAGATAGCTGTATTACAATTTGTAAATTGTCTATCTTGAAATATTCTCCTTGTACAATGAACTTATTAAACTCATACTAGCTACTTCATTGAACTTCAGGGTTCGGAATGGGGCTATTCATATTAAATAATACCTTTTTTATGTAAAACAACTATGGATACTCATTTTCTTTGTTAGAATTTTTTTTTTTTAAGGTCAAGGAAGGTCATTAACAAGTGATGCATGACAGAATGGTGTAGAGCTGCTCATGACTCAGATATTACTTGTATACAGGATTTAAATGTCAGGACTGAAATTCATAGAACTCTCTTGAGGCTCTAAAGGATTATGTTCAACAAAATAATTTTTCATTTCTCAGCTGAAGCCACATTGTGTGACTTGGCAGAAAACTGTCAAAAATGCTATTGGTTATGTATCTCTTTCTATCTTCTTTCATTATCAGTGTGAGACAGACCTGTAATAAAATTGTTTGGAATGACTGAAATCAAAGTACATTTACATGAAGTAAAGTTTTAACTGTCACCAAATATTAAACTGTCAAATTCATGGAAGAAGCTGGCAATAAATTGAAAAGACCGTTACAACACTGAAATAAACAGCAGATCTTTTCCAATGCAATTTCAGCTACGCAAAAATTTCTAAACTCACTTCAGCTTTTGTGTTTTTAACTTTGATTACTCATAATTATTCTGCAAAGGTAACACTGAATAGAAGGAAAAGTAATCAAAATATTTGGAATAAGTAAGTAATGTAGCATGCAGTCTAGATATAAAGTCCATCCTTTATTCTGGTGTTGTCTGACAACAAATTTCTATTCCTATTTTCCACTTCCAACCAGAATCAACCACTCCTACCATCTTTTTCCATCTCATGAGGGCTTTTGTTGGCTTTCCCCAAACTTCTTTCTAGAAAAGCCTGACCTTGAGAAGTCCTAAGAAACACAGATATGATCCTCACTTCTTCCTAGCATCTTCTCAAGAACGTATTCTAGTTATTTTGCTATTCTCCTGATCAGATGAATTGTCTGTCAAGAATGCAAACAATTGAATCTCTCAACCTCAATAAATCCATGAATTCCAAAGTTTCAACATATTAGTGGGCTACCAACCAGGAAGGGGAGCCACCCCAATTACTGAGAAAATGCACAAGCGTGCCACAGGCTCTAGTTCATAACGCCTTTGCCTTTAAAAATCAAAGAACAGCCACAAAACAAAACCAAACAAAACAAAAGAAAAAATAAAACAATCAAGAACCCCAAAAGGGGGTTGGATGTTTTCTTTTATTACTCATCTTCTTTGGCCTTTGTGGTATTCACAGCCTTTCTTCTACAAAAGAAACTGTAGTCCTCCAACTTCCTCAATATGAAGGTCAGCAACAACTAAGCAATTTAAACATTTTAGGAAAGTTTCTTCCGTATTAGCGTAATCTGTACGCTAAACTAATTGATGAGATCCCACGGTAGGCAGAAGGGGAAGGACTATGTGCATAAGATTGAAGGCATGCAAGAGGCCCAGAAAGTTTTATGCAGAACTGCTAACTTGCCTCCTACTGCTGGACAGTCTGCTGTAAGAATCCCACTCCCTAAGAGTGATAGGGTGGGATGGATTGGTGTTAAGCAATAATGTGTGATCAGTTTGGGGGCCTCAGTTTCTGGGTATGTCCCTCCTTAGTGCTAATGGCAAGAAGACTGTGGATGTTCCTGATGGCTAACTTACCTCGACTGAAATCAGTTTTGATTCAGAACAGTCTGAGATTGCCTCTCAGGAAATGAATGTCTTGATTTTTTTTTTTTTTTTCCCATACGTTTTAATGAGTCTGGGTACAAATTATGAAAAGCAAACAGATCTTACTGAGGCAGGCATATTTTTCGTATAACGAAGAAGGTACCCTGTAGTTGCCATGTTATTCACATGTGAATAAGTTTGGAGAAGGTTCGGTTCTTTACTTACCCGTGGACAACATTAGCCACTAGGCAACGACACGAACTACATCAGACTGTATCGTGTGGTGGCATTGCATTTCATAACAAGGCTTGTGAAGTGGAACTGGAGTTGTGGTCACACCGTTCTCTTCTACCTGAAGTCTGACACACAGCATAGCTAATATGTGGGAGTGTGCACTCTGACAGACACCCTGGAACAGAAGGCTCTTTTTGTAAGAGCAAGACTCTTTTTATAGTATCAAAAGCCAGGTAAGCTTTATTGGATTTCTCACAATATTTACATTATTCTATGCCCTGTTACATGTTGTTACAATCACTCCACCTTTTAATGTCAAATTAACGACTTACAATAAGGAGGTCACAAAAATAAAGTAGTAAAAATAATTTGGTGATAGTTAATGTTGAGAAATTGCATTTAGAATTTAACAGACTGAATTATTCAACATTCCAAATTGAATTATTTCATTATTAGCATGTCATCATTTAAATCCATTACTTCCATAAAAGTGCTTCTAATTTTCTCCATATAACTTGTCTCACAACTCTTAATTGCTCATGATTATAAATTATATTATGACTTCCTAATTTGTTTTGTCATTTGATGACTAGACATTCCATAATCAGTAACAGTTCTTTTAGCTAACTATTTTGTCAAGTTAGAAAATATCTATACAGACTTTTAGTGTCAGCTTCTGTAAAGTATATGACCCTAAAAAATAAATATTATGAGAAAGATTACAATTTTTGCTTAAAAACTAGAAATTGAAAGAAAATGTTAGGTATTTTGTATCTAGATAACTGTAATTTTTCAGATTCATTAAAAAAAATTCTCGTTTAAATTTCTATGAAACAGGATTCCATTTCATGTTCCATCCTATCATATCTGTAGTGTTATGATGTACCATGCCATCTCTGTTGCCCACGAAAAGAACACATTTTACTTTAATATACAATGATGAAATCTTCCTTTGAAAATGGTGCCTTTATAAACAAAATATATTTAATGCTTCTGATTTTAATGTAATACTATCTATTCCTTGAAAACCTTCTACACTTCTACTGACACTTCATTATGGTTGGCTCTTTTAATCTTTTATTTACTGCTGGTCTTCCTTTCATGAATCATTTGGGAGTTTAATATGTTAATGGTACACTATAGTTCTAATGCTGACCCCAGAAACATTGCTCCTCTTTTCTTCTAAGGGCTCTGTCAAGCAGAAATACAGCATAATTTTTTATTTTTTGAGGTTGAGACTTTCAGAAGTTGAAAGAAACATATTTCTTTGATGGACTAACTGTTAAAGAATAAAATTAATGCAGATATATGCATGTCCTCACTAACATAAAGATGGATATAATATTCAAACATCTGTCATTTTTGAGATAAATTGATATTAACTTGGCTTTTTTTTAATGGTGCCTCGTAAAAGCCCACTGATTATTATAAAATACATGGCAGAAAAGTGATCTAAAAAGTACAGACTGAGATTGTGCTTGTACTTAGAATACATCACATGAAAAATATCTGCAATTAA